CCCTGCACCTCCCTCCCTCCCGCAACTTCCCTTCCCATCCCGACTGCCCTGCCTCCCCCGACGTCCCTACTCCGACGTCCCTATTTCAACGTCCCTACTCCAATCCCCCTCCGTCGACCTCCCTCCCCCGAGTTCCCTTCGTTGACTTCCTTCCGCATCCCAGCATCCCTCCCCCTACTTCCTCCATCGATATCCACCTCTGTCCCCAATCCCGACTTTCCTCCATCAGTCCCCACCTCTTCCTCGATCCCGGCTTCCCTGCACCGATCCCCACCTCTCTCCCCTGATCCTGACTCCCTCCTAGGACCTCCCTCCCCCGACCTCGGTCCGGCAACTTTCCTCCCCATCCCGGCTTCCTTCTCCCCACCTCCTCCCATCGATCCCCACCTCTGTCCCCTGATCCCGACTTCCCTCTCCGATCCCATTTCTCCATCCCAACCTCTACTTCCCCCGATTGCGACCTCCCTGCCCTGACAGCTCTTCCTCCTCCTCCCGCTGCTCCTCCTGCTCTTCCCCACTTCCTCCTCCCGCTTGTCCGGCGGGCCGCGCCCTCACCCGCCGGCAGTCTTCGCGGCTGTCGTCCGACATCCCTGCCTCGACTTCCCTCCGCCGAGTGGCCGACCTCCATTCCCCGACTCCCCTCCCCTGACCCCCCTTCCCATCCCGACTTCCCTCCGTGGACTCACCCTGCACTGACCTCCCTCCCACGATTTCCCTTCCCATTCCGCCTTCCCTGCCTCCCCCGACGTCCCTACTCCGACGTCCCTATTCCAACGTCCCAACTTCGATCCCCCTCCGCCGACCTCCCTCCTCCGAGCTCCCTCCCCCGAGCTCCCTTCGTCGACTTCTTTCCGCATCCCAGCATCCCTCCCCCTACTTCCCTCGATCGATATCCACCTATGTCCCCAATCCCGACTTCCCTCCGCCAGTCCCCACCTCTCTCCCAATCCCGGCTTCCCTCCACCGATCCCCACCTCTTCCCTGATCCTGACTCCCTCCTCCGACCTCCCTCCCCCAATCTCCGTCCGACGACTTCCCTCCCCATCTCGGCTTCCTCCCCCCTACTTCGCCCCATCGATCCCCACCTCCCCGCGATCCCGACTTCCCTCTCCGATCCCATTTCTCCATCCCAACCTCTACTTCCCCTGATTGCGAACTCCCTGCCCTGACAGCTCTTCCTCCTCCTCCTCCCGCTGCTCCTCCTGCTCTTCCCCCCTTCCTCCTCCCGCTTGTCCTGCGGGCTGCACCCTCACCCGCCGACAGTCTTCACAGCTGCCCTCTCTCTCTCTCTCTC